TTTTTTTCTCTTGAAATTTTTTTACTAAAAGAAATTTAATAAAATCAGTCAAATAAGATCGTTTATCTTCTTGCACTGAATATTATTAATTTTATTTGTTTCTTTTCTCTCTCTCTCTCTCTCTCTCTCTCTCCCTACTATTTGAAACGTGAAAATTTTTCATTTGTTTTAAAATAAATTACATACTATAACTTTAAAAAAAATATCTTATTACAATTATTATTATTTATTTATTTATTTTAATAAAATTTATTTAAAATCACTAATTTTGTTTTTTTGTTTTTTTTTTTTTTTACGTCATTTTTAATTAATTTGAACCGAATTTTTAATAAAAATGTTTGGAAAACCTTTTTTTATATCTAACAAATAAATGTAAAAATTCTATTTTAATAAAATAAGTAAAAAAAAAAATTTTTTTAATAGATTTTACTAATCGTTTACTTGTTATTTGAATAAATAAGTAAGTATCAAACCAAAACGTCGTGATTTTTAATATTAGTTTTTTTTTTTTTTAAAGACTAATAAATGTCTAAAACCATCTATAGAAATACAATTGATTTGATTTTTTATAATATTGTGCAATATTTGCAATTTAAATATATTAAAAATAAATGATATTCGCCATTAAGACTAAAGAAACATATATATGGTACCGTAACGAATCGGTCGTTTAAATGATTTTTGCATTCTTTAGTACTTAAAAAATTGTAAAGAATCTTTAATATAAAGGAAAATTTGGATTTTTAATTAAAATTAATAAGCGATTTTAAAGGAATACTAACCGGTTGACTTGTACAATAAAAAATATCTTTGTTGAAAATTACTTGAAACTTAAATTCGAAACATATTTTGCTGGTCTTGCATAATGATAGAATTAAAACCATTCGTGACAATAAAAACAACAAATTCTAAATTATTAAAAATTATTACTGGTTTTAATTAAAATGTTCATCATTTTATCGATAAAAATTAAATTTAATTAGGATTAAACTGAACGATAGAGATTAGTACTAAAATAAAATGCCTGATTAAAGTCTACAGCCACGATGAGTTTATTTCTTGTTTTCTAATGACACTAAATTTAACCGTATTCTTTGTGATATCATTCAAAAGTAGTTTTCGTATTTTAGTATTTTCTTGTCAAAATAAATACATGTGCAACCGTATAAAATGATTATTTTGTTTTGTAGTGTTCAACATTCAATGTATTAGAATTACTTTAATGATTTAAAGGTTTAAAAATTAGTATTTTAACAATATAATATTATTTCAAAAATGGATATCACACTTTCTCCTAGAGCATCAGGAAAATATATTTCCTCTTTAGCCAAGTACATAAAAATAAATGATGGAGAAGTTGAAAAAACAGCTCTGAAGGTTACTTTGATTAGTATTGTTTTTTTAAAAATTAATATTTTTGTGTTCTTGTAGTAGTTACCTCAATATTGTTTTTAATTTTTCAAAAGGTTGTTGATCTTCTTCAAAACCATACAATATCGTTGTCAAAAATTTCTGAAGATGACCTTTGTCCCACAACCTCTGATGAAGAAACCATTAATTGGATATTTGTCGTTGACACACTTAATTTTTGTTTTTGGTCATCTGGCACCGAAAACTGGAACGTCACCTGGAAAGGAAAAACATATTCAGGATACTTTGCTTTGTGTGCAGCCATAAACAGAGCTTTAAGTGAAGGCTATTCAGTTACCGATCCAAAATTTTATTCTCAAATATCAATAAGAGATCTAAAAACCATATTTAGGGGAGATAATGAATTAATATCTATTCCGCTTCTAAATAAAAGGCTTGACTGCCTACATGAAATCGGACTGATACTTCTTGAAAAGTTTGATGGAAAATTTTCAAATTGTGTTTTGTCAAGTGATCATTCAGCTAAAAAATTACTTCAAGTAATAGTTGATAATTTTCCTTGTTTTAAAGATGAGTCAAATTATAAAGGCAAAAGAGTTTCATTTTATAAAAGAGCTCAAATATTAATTGGTGATCTATGGACTCATTTTAAGGGGAAAAATTTTGGATTTTTTAATGATATCGAAGAATTAACCATGTTTGCAGATTACAGAGTTCCACAAGTATTGGCTTATTTCAATATTCTCGAATATGATGAAGTATTAATGGATAAATTAAAAAAAGGTATTAAAACAAAGATCTTAATAAAGCAAAATTAGTAGAGATTAATGTTAAATAAACATTTCAGGTGTGATTTTAGAATCTGGATGTGAAGAAGAAGTAGAAATAAGAGGTTGCACAATTCATGCAATTGAATTAATAAATCAAAAAGTAAAAGGAATACTTACAAATGTCGTTGAAAACATTTCTGAAAACAATGATAATGATGCTTTGGTGTGCAATTCCATACTGTTGGATCATTATTTTTGGAATTACAGAAGACAGCATAGAACAGAAGTTGAAAATATTCCATTTCATAAAACTTTATCAGTTTACTATTAAATTTTTTTTTTTAAAAATTTTGCCATCTATTTACATAATAAACTTTTTATAAAATTTAAAATTAATTATCGAAAAAAAAAAAAAATATGCCATAAAAAATATTTCTATAAACAAAAAAAAATTAATTATTTAAATAAAATTATTATTAATTTAACAATGAATTACAATTTTACTCTTGTTTTAGTGATAAAATAAAAATAAAAAAACAATATTGATTTATTATTATTATTTTTTTAAATAACATATTAATTTTTATTAATTATTGAAATTTTGTATTGGCGACTTTCAAAATAAATATATGGCACTTTTAAAATTATGTATAAATATATAATAAATAAATTATTAATAATTATAAGAACATAATCCATTCGTTATTCAATTATTGACATTATAAATATTAATTTAAAAGAAATTAATTGAAATTCACGGTAAAAAAAAATTTTAATTTATTACTTAATAAATTACCTTTTTTTTTCTCTCTTTTATAATTGAATATTTTCACCAAAAAAATAAATAAATTACTTTAAATAAATAAGATAATAAATTTAAAGGTTAACTTAAAGGTAAATTTTTATTAAAATTTACCCAAAATTTAAATAATAATAATAATTATTATAATTGCATAGAAAAAATTAAAATAAATTATAAATATTAATAATAATTTTTTTTCAAAATTTTTTTGGGTGATTTAAAAAATTATAATTTTGTGTTACGACGGTATTGGCTGAAATTTTTTCCTCCCAAAATTTTTTCATATTTTTTAAATCTATTGATGGGGGCGAAGAAGAAGAAGAGGAAGAAGAAGATTCATTGGGATTGTGGTCAAAAAAACACGTGTTTTCACCATCAACATCGACATTTTTTTGAAATAATTTAACCGTCGTAGTATTATTTTTAAGACCTTCTCGAAATACTTTCGATATGCTTCTTGCCGTTAGACTATGAATTTCTTTTCCATTATATGGAATTATTACTGGAATTCCATTTTTCTTTTTTTCCATTTTACCTACCCATCGAAAATATATATAAAAAATATTATCATTATCATCACGATCGCATTTCATTTTTTCCTTACCTTCTGTTAATTTTTCACCATCGTCGCAATTAATACCAGAATCTTTTACGAATTCCTCCGGTGCAAATTGTTTAACTAATTCTTTAACCTTTGGCATGACATATTCTTTTCTTAAAATATTTTCAGTATTACCAGAATTTTTCACTTTTTTATCTTTATAATTTTCCTTATCATTTTTCTCTTGTTGTTTCTAAAAAAAAAAAAAAAAATAACCCATTCAAAAAAAAAAAAAACGTTAATATTACAATCGGATTGGATTTGCTTTTATTAAAATAAAAAAAAAATAAAAATAAAATAACAATTAAATATTTATAGAGCAAAAAGAAAAATATAAGATAAAGCATGTATACTATTAAATGTTTTTCTTTTTTTTTTTTTTAAACTAATTAAAATATTTAAATAAAAAAAAATGGATGCAAATACATTCAAAGTAATGCATCAAATGTTTTAGTTTTTATTAATAATATAATAATAATAATAATTAACTTACTTGTTTTTTATCAATCGATTGAGAATTTATAAATTTTGACGTCATTTCCGTTGTCGATTTCGACTCTTCGTTATTATTATTATTATTAAATTCTTTATAATTAAATTCTGAATCTGATTTTTTAATTGTTTGAACATCATCCGAATTGAATTTTGGAAATTTCCTAAATAAAAAAAAAAAAAGTAATTATATTATAATAATAATAAAATTAATTTTAATTTTAAAAATAAATTAATAAAATTACTTTAAATCTTTAAAATATGATCGAATTTGTAAAAATTCATCGTCGAAAATTTTTTTTTCTTTTTCCATCATTTCATTTGATGTTCTGGTATTTGTGTTGGAAAAACATTTTTCTTCGTCGTCTTTTTTTATTAATTTAAAACTTTTCAAATCATTATATAATTTTAACGGTTCTCCAGATCTGCAAACACAAAACAAAATAGTGATAATAATAATAATAATAATAATAATAATAATTTATTTAAAAAAAAATTAACTCACATATCATTGCATTGATCAGATTCAATTTTCATTTCATTACTCTGTATAAAATTATTATTATTGTTATTATTATTATTATTATTGTAATTTTTTACAATTTTAACATTATCATCGATATCTCGAACGTAATTATCATCGTTTATTTTTTCAACGGTTAATTTCGATTCGTTTCCATCTTTGGTTTCCGTTGAATTTTTTTTAGGCTTTTCAAAATCGTTAACGATTAAATTGAAATTTTTTGAATTTAAATTTTCCAATATGGTATCGCTTAAATCGGAAATATCGCTTAAATTATCAGCATCGACACCACCGACCATTGCTCGAAAATCTTGAGATGGATTTGGTACAAGCATAGGTACAGGTACGGGATGATGAACGTTTGGTATCGAAGGAGTTCTTTTTTTTTGAAAAAGCCAATTTTCTTCCCACGATCCTGTTGAATCCCGTTTTTTTTCTGTTTCTGATTCTGTAATAATAAAACATTTTAATTTATTTACATTATTTAATGAATTATTAAATAAATAAATAAATAAGAAATTTACCACTTTCAATTTCTTCTATTTCAGAAAAATAATAATTTTTATGTCTTGAGTTTTTCCTTTTATCAAATATTTCAAAATCATTTCCTTCGATATCTTCATTGGATTTTTGTTCCTGGTTGTTAAAAAAAAAAAATTTTAATTATAAATCAGGTACACACACACATACATAAAAACAATAAGATCCCCTTTAATAATTACCGATGGATAAATTTTTAATTTAAAATCTTGACACCAATAATTTTTATTACCAACGCCATCGCTAAAAAAATTTTCTTCTTTAAATTTTTTACATAAATTTTTATTTATACGAATTCCTTTACTAATTTTTTTATATTTTCCATCGACATTTTTTTCCCTTTGAAATTTTTCTACAACCTGTAAAAACATTATTTATTTAATATT